TGATATTTGAACGGGGAAAGAAAAAGTTAGTTTGGAGGGTGTGTTCTAGAACCACTGGTAGTCCTAAAAGCTAAAAGTCTTTCCAATACTAAATAGTTGAAACTCATAAGCCTGCCTAATATTTTTAAATAGAATAGTGAAACTGCAACTAAAATAATAAAATGCAGTAAATATACTGTAGTAATTCTGAATTAGAACATTATATTAGCATTTCAGGTGATAATGCTAACTTAGCTTTTGGAGATATACTTCTTTTTACAACCTAGTGGTAAATGAGATTTGAAGAATTTTTTCTAGGAAATCATCACACACACTTTATAATACAACAAAACATACCATACATTAAATCACATTATCATAAAAGTTCTTTTTCTAAAAGGTACTGTTTTATTTGGGATATTTTAAAGTATTTTTTAGAATTAGATAAAGTTGTCCAGCCTAAGCAAATGGCAGTGTCAAAGCATAGCCCTACAACACCTCTTTATCGATGTACTGAAGCTGAAGGTCAAAAAGTGTTTTCAGCTTCTAGAATTACTGGTGTTCAAGAAATGAGGTCCCCTTAGTTGCAATTTTTGTTAGGAATTTTTTCCCATGGCAAAACTGGGGTGACAAAGAGACACCCGCAGTGACTGAATGCTATTCACTTACTTGAGACTCTGTCTGCACTGGTGCAAAGAGCGTCCGCAAATTCAAGCAGACTGAGGACGATTGCGCTGAGGTGAGCTCTGTGTGCCTCAGTTGAAGCAACTGTTGCAACTAAGAAATACTGACAAATGCTTCCGATAAGCATGTCACCTTCACCTAGAAAGAGGCAGGACACAACAGAAAAATGGGAAGGGATTTCCTGAAATGATGGGAAGGGTTCTCTAAAGACCTTATTTCACCATCCAACTCCAACAAACGAAACCACCTTAACCTGAATCAGCCATGTTCCCTAGGGAAAAGGAAGAAAAGGGGAAACAAAAGGGAAAAAGAAGGGGGGGGGGGGGGGGGGGGGGGGGGGGGGGGGAAAAAAAAAAAAAAAGGGGGGAAAAAAAACCCCCAAACCCAAAAACCCAAAACCAAAAAAAAAAAAAAAAAAAAAACAGGCTGATTTTCGACAGCTTTACCTCAGTCGGTGCGACATCGGTTCCGCCGCAACTGGTATTACCGCTACTCTGTCGCCACAAGCAGGGGCGTGTGTAACCCGCTCAAAAACATCTCCTTTAAAGCACCATTTTCTGATTCAGGGGAAAAAAAAAAGTCTGACCGGGACTTCCAATCCTGTGGAATAACCGCACCCCCACCTGCATCAGCCTGCCGTACCTTGTCGCCGCCTCTCGCCACCGCCACGGCCCCGAGCTGCCGACAATGAAGCGCTTTCAGACGTGGCCGAGGCGCCGGGGCAGCGGGAGGAGCCCGAGAAGGAGCCGATCCGCCCCGCTGCCGGAGCATCCCGGGCCAAGGCGCAGCCTGGCAGAGGCGGTCCGCTCTCCCGCCCCGCCCAGCACGAGCGGCACCGGCGCGGCAGCCGGGCTGTACCGGGCTGTACCGGGCTGTACCTGGCTGTGCCGGGCTGTACCTGGCTGTGCCGGGCTGTGCCGGGCTGTACCTGGCTGTGCCGGGCTGTGCCGGGCTGTACCGGGCTGTACCTGGCTGTGCCGGGCTGTACCTGGCTGTGCCGGGCTGTGCCGGGCTGTACCGGGCTGTACCTGGCTGTACCGGGCTGTACCGGGCTGTGCCGGGCTGTACCTGGCTGTGCCGGGCTGTGCCGGGCTGTACCGGGCTGTACCGGGCTGTGCCGGGCTGTGCCGGGCTGTGCCGGGCTGTGCCGGGCTGTGCCGGGCTGTGCCGGGCTGTGCCGGGCTGTGCCGGGCTGTATCCCGGCAAGCAGGGTCCACACCGCCCCGTGGCAACAGCAGCCCCTCCTCCGCCTCCTGCGTCCATCCCAGCCCAGCATCCCCGGGCCAACAGAGCTCGGCGCGGCCGCGTCCCGCTCGCCTCGTGCGAGCAGAACGAGAGGATAATGCCCCCTGCAAACGGGCTGCTTTGGTGAGTTTACAAGCAAAGAGGTGGTTTCCTTTCTCCTAGTTCCACCTCTTAAAGAACTCCTGAAGCATGGCTCTTACGTGGCCACGCTTCCACATCAGCTTATGCATAGGACTTTAAACTTAAAGCTACTTTCTTTTTCCTTCTTACAGAACCTCGATTAACCTTAGCAAGCCACCATGTCTTTCCTTAATGAAGAGCATTTGGATTTACTCTGTCATATGTACAAAGATCTGTGTAGTAGCACTGCGGTGCATGGTAGCGGTTTTGACTTTTTGTGCTGCTTAGCAAGCTACAGGAAGAGTCCTTGCAGATTAGCTTTCGGAGAAAGGCTCTTCCTTCCTAAACCTCTTTTAATGCTGGTTGCAGTGGATCCTCAGGTATATATTTTCCTGTGTAGTTCAGTTTGTTGCTTAAACTATAAAATCTTGCCTTTTTTCTATTGCTTGGTTACTTATAAAAGTAGAATGTCTCTTCAGCCTTGAGAAAGGAGTCAGAACTATTGTCAATATAAAAAGTGATCCAGGACCACAGCACAGGTATCACAGGGTTTTTTTCCCTCTTGTCATAACATCTGCCTTTACAACCCCTTTTACCCTGCATTCAGTTATTAGTCCCAGTCATGAAACACCTCTTTGAAAAGAAATGGAGGGATGGCTTCAGGTCATATTAAACAATCACATGCCACCTACAAGTAAATATCTCTTTTGATTGCCTTCTTTTAATGTATATAGTCCTTTGCTTACATTACTGTAGAGGATTTTTTCCAGTTTTCTCCATCTAAGGGCAAAGAAAAGGTTAAATATATTTTTCTCTGTATTTCCAGAACAAGACCTAATCTCCATTTCTTATTTCACATGCATTCACTGAACTGTTGCTCTGAGCAGCATCACTTGTTCGAACTTAATGTGAAAGGCTACAACAGGAGAGAAAAGTGAGAGAGGGATTAAGGGACTAACAGAGTCTCCTAGTACTGTGCTTTCAAGCATTAGTCTCTTCCGTACTTCTGTTGCTACCTTAAATAGACTTCTGTTCAATTTGGAGGGAGACTCTTACACATTCCATTTTTGTGGAAGTAGAACATTCAAACCTTTAAACTGCAGCCCTGTGGTCTCTCCAGAGATTTCTACCCCTTGCTCATGTTCACCTTAATGCTTCTGCAGACACATACCAAGTTCAGTCAGGTGTGGCAGCGTGGAACTGGATGGTGAATGCTTTACCTCGCCTAGCGTCTTCTGAGAAAGCCGCTCTGACAGGTACAGACAGTCACTGAATTCACAGTTACACCACAGATACCACAGTGATAAGTCAGTCAGGACGGAAAGGGTCTGCTGCACAGAGCTCCAGCAAGGTTTATTGCCAAGCCGCGCTGAAGGAATCCAGGGACAAAAGGCAAAAAATCACAGCAGTCTTGGGTTAAGTATGGCCTCAGGGCACAGGGGCAGTACAAGGGCAGGGCAAAGGGCAGTGAGCTATAGGGAATAGGGATCGATTAACATAGTGCTGCCATGGAGGACCATGAGGGAAGCCGTTTTGTCTCATTTCAGACAGTGAGGCATTCTTGAAGCCTGTGCCAGACTTTTCCAGGACATTCCCCTAGAGGTTCCCCCGATAGGCTCAAGGGCCTCCTCAGTCAGGGAACTGACTTGTTTGAAAAAGTGATTATATATTTGGTAAAGATCATCCTCTGTAGTAATTATGTTGAGATGGACATGACTGGGACTATCACCAGTCTTTTACTTAAAATTTTTCATGCCTTCTCTCAGGCAACTCTGACTCCTTTTCTCACAGGCAGCTCTACACACCAGTGACTCCTCTCCTCTCTGCAGATTTTCTTCTTCCTTCTGCATGACTGGCTAACCCCAAGCTGTCCCTTACCCAGCTGCCTAACCCTGTCCATCCCTTGCACAACCACCTTACATCCTCACAGCACAGCCAGCAGACTACAAATACAACTGTAACTCTTGACTAGCTGGCCCACCCTTTTATAACACCCATCCTCATTGGGCAGGCAAGGCTGTTTCCACTCCTCGGTAATCAGTACAGCTGTAATTCACTGGGAAAGATTGCCTTCTGCTCTCTCCTTACAACCTGTTCTCCTGCAGTCTTCACCATATGAACTCCCTGAATTAACTCATGCAGTCACACAAGCACCATTACTGCTGCAAGGGAGAGTACACCAAACGTACATCAGCTTGAGATATGGGGGAAACAAGCTCACAGTCCCCTTCATTCATGCTGTGCAGTGGCTAGAAGCCCTAAAAAGCTGTAGACAGTTGCTTTGACTCTGGAGATGCTGACACGAAGCCAGTTATCAGTAACCCTACGCTGCCACATAGAGACTTCAAAGATCCAAGAGCAAACTGCAGACTTCTAGAAAAGGTAGCTCTCCCAGCTGCCAGGATGTTGAATTCTAGAGGATGATGGCCAAAAGGTGGCATACTGCTAAGCTGCTCTTTCATATTTCATAGCTGCATTGTGTCTCAAGAATTCAAGAGAATCAAAGACACTTGGAATCTTTTGCAGAATTCTAGCATCTAGAATTCTTTTAAATTCTGTCCTGCCATAACACTGCTTTGCTAGAATTAATCCTTTAATACAAAACTGAAAACATAATGGAGACTTTGTTGTTTTCTCTTGAAAGCTTGTCTGGCATAAAAAGTAAGCCCAGAAAAACAAGACAAAATTATCTGCCCTATGACCACCACCATCAAGAATGAGGGACACAGTTTTTCAGTGTTTACCAGTGATTATAATTTTTATGTGTTCTAAACTATTTAAGTTCTGAAGGAAATTATTCACTTACTTTGAAACTAAGGCTTCCCTGGTACAATTTTTTGCTAGTTTTCTTTCAATAGATACGAGGATTCTCTGTTTTACTATTCACAATTCACAATTAATGGTCTGGTGCTACAGTAATAATGCCAATAGGAAATGGTTGTGCAAATTTTGCATACACTATCACCCAAAACTTGGTTTCTCATATCAACCTTGAATTTATTAATAATCCAATTTAATAATTAAATTGGTGAGTATGTATAGCCACCGTTACAGAAGCACATCTCTGACCTTAACTCATCCATGCATTTTTTTTCACCTCACAGTGCACATAAATGCATGTACAAATAACTCTTGACAACTCTAAGACTGCAGTTGATTTACAATAAGTAAAAACAGTTAATGTTGTTACTTTTAGCATATTATTTTCAGTTTTCAAGATGTTTTTTGAGGCATGTTCCAGTTGCAAAAAAAAACCCTAGGCTCTTCTTTAACTGTCAAAAATATAAAATTTCCAGCTCCAAAGCAGTGTTCCTAAAGAAATAAGATGAATGAACCTGTGTTTTAAAAAGGAAGCACAAACAGAGCATACTTGGAACATACTTAAAAAATTCTGATCTTCTAAAGTAAGAAGTGTAGAGAGAATAAAATCAGGTAACTATTTTTGAATGGCATTTCTATAAAGTGTTCTCAGGTATCTCTTCAGGACTGGTGCTGTTTGTAGGACAGTACTGGAGATACAGGCAGAACTGGTGATACTGGAATTGTAGTCAACACCTGATTCTGAAACAAAAACGTCTTAATCCTACCGAACACCCAAAGAAAGATAAGGAGGATGCTGACATACTGGATCCAGGCAAATTTAATAATTTCCCAAAATCCTGGCTGATATTTAAAGAAAGTTAAGGAATGTTACTAGAGAAGCTTCTGATGCTGCCACTGCAATATCTAAACAAACTCATAGGCAGAAAGGCACAAACCTTGTTAAGACAGCAGTTTATGTCACAAATGCTAAGCCTCTGAACCATAGAAACACCTAAAAGACTTCTACCATGGTAGGTAACAAAAGCTGGAGAAATTGTCTGTCTTAAAAGACATTTAAACCAATTCTGGGAAAAGGACCTACTTTGTGCCTGAATCATCAGAAAGTACTTATTGTTAATATTCAGGCAGGTAAACAAATCTTATAGGAAATGTGCTCCATACAGATTCTTCTAAACACAGACTTGTTCTTGTCTAAGAAAAAGAGTGAAGAACATAACGAAGAATTATTTTGTCAAAAAAAGAAAAAAATTCCAGTCTGCCTGCACATGAACAGATATAACAACCTCCCACTGCAGGAGTTATTATTTGGTGAGACGATCTTGCATACAGATTTCTAATTATTTGCTTTACATCACAGACTACAGTATCGTGCTTTGCACGTGGCATCTGTGACAGATCGGGACAGCAGGTACTGCAGAACCAAAGCAAGATGTACTACAGGTATTCCCTGAGAATAGCTAACTAAGTGCTTTAAAGGCCTTTTCAGCAAAGCTGAAAAGCAACACAGGTTCTCAATAAAGAAAAGCAAAAAGTGGTTATGCAAGCACAACCATCTGAAGGAATGGACAAATAGGTATTTCATTAACTCCAGAACGGTAGCATTTGCTTAGCTAACAAAAGAAAAAAACAAAACAAACAAACAAAAAAAAACAACAAAAAAAACCCCAAAAGTGTAGCAACATATCTAATGTGGTGGAGGCTCAAATAATACAACCCTGTTATGTCACAGTTTGTGCAGTTTTTAAAGGATATAAGATAACTTCCACTGGGTAATGAATGGTGGCATTAATGATAAATGGTGTATCTCTTGCTCTTCCAGTCATCCAAACAGGGCTGGAATCTGAAAAGACTGTTGTCACTGAAATGGAGAAAGGAAACATCCAGGTTAAGGGGCTTTAAAAGTGTTAATACAGAAGTCATATACTTCACAAAACAGCTGCCAATATGCTAACTACTACTGTCCTGTAGCTACACATTCAGGCTTACCATTTCTATCCCAATATGCTGCAATGATATTTGCTAGGTCATAGTCACTTGCAAAAGGACTTGTGCCATTGACCACAGACACCTGTTACAACAAGGAGACACTTTAATTATTTGTCCAGTCTTCAAGACAGTAATTTTACTGAGTTTCTTACACAAAATAACCATGCCCTTCAAGGAATAAACATCATAAATAAATAAATAAATAAAAGAGTGAACATCTGGCAGAATAACCTTTTCCCTCTTGTAGTCTAACAAGAAAGCATCAGTTCCAAAGTCTTACAGTTCACTCTGTGCAGTAGTACAAATAATGAGGGTGTCACCTATGACACTAGGAGGATTAAGAGGTCGGGGGGCTGAATTTGAAGGGAAGGGAAAAACATTTCCTCACATTGTATCTGGTGTCCAATCCACAGTGGTTAAGTAATTGCCTCTGGTTTAATTTCAAGTCTCCATTCACATAGAGTTGAGACCCTGGCACAGGAGAAAAAAACTGAAGAAAAGCCATGCTCTGCATCACAAATGTTGACATTCTCTGAAATAGTGAACACAAAAAAGGAAAATTTAGGGGGAGGAGGAGGGACACAACACACTTTTCTACCTCTTGGTATCTACAAATTTTTCTACACAGATGTGATTTTTCTACGACTCCCAAGTTTCAGATCATCACCTTAGTCTAAATAAGGGAACACCAAATAAAAAACACAATTTTTTAAAAAGTGAACTACCTTAGTTAATAGTTAGCTAACTTTATTAACTCAACAAAGTTCCACAGGAAATTCAGTGAAATACAATGTCTGTGGGTAATGACAGGAAGATTTGACTAGCCATAACATGAAAAAGCAGCAAGGTAACTAAACACATTCATTGGAGATACACCTTAAAAACTCAACAGTCAAAATCAAGGACTTGTACTCTGCAACAAGAACCAAATAAAGAAGGTAAGTCCTTAGTTCTTATCAACCACTCAGTCGGAAGGAAAATTTCCACATTTATAATGGAATAAAAAAGTGTTGTGACTATCGTCATTCTGTCATATGAATACCTGACCAAATACTTCAGCCCAAATTTAGGACTGTTGAGCCTGTATTCTGGACCTCAGGCTTAAGAATGTTTTCTACACCACATAGCTATGCTTGCAAAGCTTGCCCATCTGCAATCAGCAAGACTCTCAAAAGAAACAGCCTAATCTCCCCAGGAAAACAATTTCTTGTCTGTGCAGCTGCACCCAACGCAGCTCTATATTATTGCTCCTTTCACATTCTGGTTTCTCTGTGCACTGGTGTTTTACTCTTTGCTTTAGGTATTAATTGCACTGCCACTTGAGGTACAATGGCAGTGGAATTGTATTGTCTTGTCTTCCTGTAACACTTTCTTCCATGTCCCAGTTACAAGATACAGAAGATCCTGGCAGATGATTACCCATGCTTCAAGAGGTGTTAAGCAAAATCCAAGGCATTTTAGGCTGCTGCAACAGCCTGACTCTTCATCTCAGAAAATGAACTGGTTATGTCAAGACACAACAGCGTGTAGGAATGCACATCCTTCTGCCTATCACAAGTCCCTCAGTTATTTCCTGGTGCCACCCACACTTATACTCACTGCTGTGCATTTCTTTTCTGTATGGTGCACTACAGCCCAAGAGAATATAGAACTTAAAAATTAAAAAAAAAATTAAAACAAAAAATCCTAACAAAGTGTATCAAAATACCCAAGAGAGCTAGACTAGGAATGATGCAGCACAGGAGGAGAAAATTAAATATTTTTTAGTAAAATACATATTTTAGATTGGAATTTCAAATGTGGAAAGTTTTTTCCATGTTTTGTATAACCACAACTGGAATATTATAATGGGTCTATACATCACAACAAACAAAATTAGAAATGCTCACATAAAGTTGGTAGGAGAAGAGTAGAATCAGCTGAATGCCAACTACGTGCTCTGTTGGTCGTAGTGGAAGTTCCAATTTAAAATGCAACTGATCCATTTTGCCATCTTGATTTTTGTCTTCTTCTCTAGTCTAAACAAATGTGTTTTTTTAAAGATAGGAATTTCTGTTAGAAAGAAAAACAAAAAAAAAGTAAAACCCCAGGGTACCTCCACCACTGCAGCACGCACATACCAAGGAAGCAAATAAACTGCATAGTTAGGAATGCAATAAAAAGCTACTTGACTATAGACAGAGGACCAGAGACAAACAAGAAGCTTACACTGCTGTCTGTCATACAATGTTTCATATACCCCTCGAGGGAGGGCAGCTTTACTTCACGGTCTTTTCTGCCCTACACCAATTCCAACCGTCTACCCTACATGCTACAAAGCATGCCTTAGTGCTGGATATTCTGTAAGACACAGTACAAATATATGACTGATGGTCAGGCTTGTGCCTCCTGTCACTGCAGCATGCCTCTTAAGTGGCCTGTGTGCTGATTCCTGGCTGTAAGCCAAGGCTTGCTACGCTTGTGTGCCAGAGTGTCCAGTTCTTCAGCTACTTGCAGATACAGCAGGGCTCGTAACAGAGCCAGACAGAAAAATAACTGCCACTGTGAAATCTCAGAAAGAAAAGTGACCGCAAGGTAGAAAATATGTGCTTCTGAAGGCACTTATCTGCTTCCAAATCTAGAGGCTACCCTGCAAACTTCACATCATGATAAGCCATGTGGCCAAAGGAGAGGAGCACAACTAATTTGATGAAAGTAAACCGATGTGTTATGCAAACCACCAGCGGTGCTTACGGACGGTTTGGTGGCAAAATTGGTAGGGTTTGGTTAATGACTGGGCTTGGTCTTATGGCCTTTTTCCGATCTAATTAATGCTGTGAGTCAGTAGCACTGAGAGGGAGTGAAACGGGACTCATTAAAAATCTAGCAAATCCCGATGTGAGGCAAAAGGTTATACATAAAGCTGCTGCTACCTGAAAGCAGCAGTGCCTGACGGGCCACCCGCTCAAAAACGCCATCAGCACTCGTGCCCTGAGCCGGCTGCCGGTCCGCTGGCCCCATTTTGCAGCCTCGCGGCTCGCCACTGTTGCCGGGCAGCCCCGGGCAGGCCTACCGACAGGAGCGGGACTCGAAGCCGGTCCTCCTGGAGCCTGTTGAACGCTGGGAATGTGCTCCACGCCAAGAAGCTGCCCGGGCCGGACCCCATGGTGGCGACGAAGAGAACCTCGTACCGGAAACGAACAGTGGGCTGCTCCAGGTACGCGCTCTGCTTCAGCCAGAAACCTGAGGGCAGAAACAGCACGAGGTTTCAGGACTGCGCCGGGCCCGGCCAGGTCGCGTGGGGTCCAGTGGCGCTCACCGTGGCTGCGGTAGGCCACCAGCAGCGGCGGCACATAGGTGAGCGCCGTGATGAGCAACAGCGCCAGTGCAGCGGCGGAGCAGAGCCCAGCCCGGTAGCGCGTGTACAGCGCGGGATGCGAGAACAGGTCCACGCCAGCCATGGCGAGCAGCCCCAGGTGCCTCAGCACCACCGCTCCCCGCACTCTCACCAGCCGCCCCCGTCCGCGCCTTCAGCGCTGCACTGGCGGAGCGTCGGACTGACGAGACGCCGCGCCAATCAGCGCCGAGGGGACGGGCACATCAGCCAATAGCCGCGCACCGCTGCCTTGCGGGGCCGCCGGCGAGAGCGCGTCCGGCAGCGGGATGGCGACGCACGGATGGGGACAGGCGGATGCGGGCATCGGCCGGGGCGGAGAAGTCTGTGGAGCGGCTTCGAGAGCCCGGGGAGCGCAGCGAGCGGCTTCGCACCGGGCAGGTGACTTCGTGCCCGGATGCCACAGCCCCGCCCGCCATCCCCTGGCCGGAAGCGCGGCTGCTGAAGCGGTTGCCGGGGAACAGGCGAGCCGGAAGTCCCGCCTGCCGAGCCGCGGCTGTTGTTGTGACAGGGACCGTGACAGCGACAGGCCCGGCACGAGCCCCCGCCCCCCGCACACGGGCCTCGTCGCCTCTGGCTTCGCTCCCCGCCCGCCTGCACCATGAAGTGGATGTTCAAGGAGGACCACGCGCTGGGTAAGGGTGGGTCTGGGCCAGGCGCTGCCTGGCAGCGGCCCCGCTGCCCTCAGTCTCCCGTGTCGCCATCTGTCGCGGTCGGCTTCCCTAGGCGGTCGTCTTGTCTGTGGGCGGACAGCCGCTGGCGGCCCTCGCCGAAGGGCGGTGCGATGCCCGGGGACGGTCGCCCCGAAAAGCTAGAGACCCACTCGGAGGCGGCAATATGATCGCGATCCCCACAGGCTCACGGCCCTGCCGGCGCTGCCCTCTCGGCCTAGGACAGTGGCAATATTATTACTCTGCAGTGACTAATTACGAGTTTTGTTCACAGAGCACAGATGTGTCGAGTCCGCAAAAATCCGAGCCAAATATCCCGATCGTGTCCCGGTGAGTAACCGAGGCAGCTTCAACACAGTGCTTAGAGGCAAAGGTGGATAAATTGTTTTCATCCTGCCCACCCAGAGTTTCTACTAAGTAAATTCATTTTTCTTTTTGTGTCGTTAGATGTTTTTAAAGAAGCCTCAAACCCATGTAACTACTCCAACATTTCTTCCTCTGCCCCAGTGCACATTGATAGATAAGCTTTCTAAACACTTTTCAGGGATTTTTATTATATGCTCCTGCTTTCTTCTAATGGCAATTATATCCCAGCAACCACCTTCATTGTCTTGAAGACTGTGCCTTATCCTTAGAAAGATTATGAAGACTCTTGAAACCTTGGCCAAATGCGTTAGATGATATCCTTCATGTATTCCACGCCTATAACCATTCATCATGGTGAATTTCTCCATGCAAACCCTGCTGTTTGAAGAGCCAATGCATGTGGTGACCCCTCCTTTCGGCATTAATACCTACCAACCTGCTAAGTAGTGAATGACCTCTCTTCTTCTCTCCACAATCCCTTTTACCATGTTTCAGTCTCTGAAAAGACCACAGTTCACATCCTTATTTAACAGCTAGCAACATGTCCATATTCTCAACTTACTTGCTTGAGTGTAAAATTTCGCACATCCCATCTGACCACATGCCAGTTAGTGCCACCCCCGCCTCTCACCTTTTGGTAAGTAACTTCTCCATCAGCACAGCCCAGAGAAGAATCTTCATTCCCATTGACTTTTTCTGCTGTTCAGTTGCACCTAGTCACAAAATTTTCTCCAGTTGCAGTCTGGCAAGCTGATATGATCCTTGCTGTTCTCTCTTGACTAACTATCCCCTCACACATAGACTGCAGCATCCTTAATGACCATATATCCATACATACGCCGCAGTCTCCCTTTATGCATTTTAAAAATATCCTTGATAACCTTAGGGGAAAAAGAAACACCAGAATCCGTAGTGTGAGTCACAATGACTTGCTGCTGTATCAGGAATGGACAGCAAGGTGTAGACAGATACAGGAATTAAATCTCAAATTGCAGCAATCCTTTGTCTGGACTGGTATGTGTTTTCTGTGATGATTCAAATTGAGCCGTGTAACATTGATACCAAATAGTTGGTATCAATTTAATAGTGAGAGGTGTTTTTCAAACTTAATGTTTCAAGTGGAATGCAGAGCTAAGGAATGGAGATCCTGGAACCTCTGATAAACCCTGTTTCCTGACATGCTGTTATTTTTCCTGCCAGAATCAGTCTGTAGTACAATAAGCATCGGGTTTTTTTCACAAGAAATACTTAATTATCCTTCCCCCCACATACCAGTTACTTTTTGTTTGGTTTTGTTTGTGGCCGTCTTGCTATCTTTCCTTCCTGTAGTCAATTTCTTATTTCCGAAGCGATGATGACATGCTCTAAATGTCAGTTCAGCAGAATACAAAGGTAGCTTCACCAGTACCAGTACAGGGGAAGGATCACTTCCCAGTCCTTTGCCTGATGCAGTCCAGGGCACTGTTAGCCTTACTTGTGTCCACGGTACACTGCTGGTTCATTTTTAACTTTGGGTCCACATGGCAGTAATTTCATGTCATCAGTGTACAAAAGGTTAAGTGATGCGTGCACTTTCCTGTCACAAGTGTCTTTTAGGCATAATGCACCTTTTTTGCCCCATGACTGCACCAAACATAGGCACAAGCCATTGTGTATATGAATTGTAGGTTTCAGTGCAGCAGTAAAATCAGGTTTTATAGTGCCGAGCCAGTTCTAGCTCTGATTTGGTTGTGGTCAGGAACCCTTTTTGTTCATCCCCTCTGTTAGTCATTGTAAGCCTGTATGAGCAAATGATCTAACAAAGGTGTCTGTTCATACCAATCCTGAACAGCCTGACCTTCACACCTGCACTTTACAGGTTATAGTGGAGAAGGTCTCAGGATCTCAGATTGTTGATATTGACAAGAGGAAGTACTTAGTTCCGTCTGACATCACCGTGGCCCAGTTCATGTGGATCATCAGGAAGAGGATTCAACTGCCATCTGAGAAGGCAATATTCCTCTTTGTAGACAAGACTGTCCCACAATCCAGGTGAGAGGCTATTCGTTTGATACTCAGAATCATATCAGCAAGCCTGTGCATATTAGAGGGTCAGTAGCACCACTCTGAGGCTCATTTAGTAATTTTAGGAGATGTTTGTCACATCTTAATCTCACTAAAAGTTTTTTTTTTTCCTCATGAGTTTGATAAACATCTTATTTCTTGAGCTAGGCCGTAAGGAAAGGTGACTGAAAAAGATACTATGATTTACTTCCATGGCAAAAGGGTGAGGTTTGCAGTTACAATCTTCTTTCACTTGGTTGAGTGCAAAAACACATACATCATCAATGTCAAAAAAACAATGATTCTTAGTATAACAAAAAAAGTTGCACATTAAATACTCAATAACAAATGCCATAAATTATTCTGAAAAGAACCCAGTAACCTGTCAGTTTACAAAGAAATTATAACATTACAGACTAGTTGCTGGTTCTTTTTTTAAAATTATTTTCTTCAATAAAGAAAATAATAATTGCAATAGAAAGGTTTTTTTACATGGCTTTAATATAGGAATAAGTTGCATTGTGTTTTGCTGCATACACAGTATAGCAGAAGCAGCTGCTACAATTTTCTACCCAAGATACTTTAGTAATATTTAAGGAAATAGTATGTGGTTACACGCCTGAACTGTGATATTATTCTTCACACTTAATTGTAACAGAAAGAGTCCCTCCAGGTAACCTGATGCACACTAGGGACCCACGAGAGCCATCCTTTTCTGCGTGTTTTTTTCTAACAGTACTAAGACTGCCTATATATTATCTTTCTAACAGTACTATAGAATGGCTAGGAGCAGGACCGAGAGATCCATTGTCTCTTCTCACGTGTTCATAATGAGATGTCACATCTCGGCTAGAAAAATAGGGCTTTGATCATTTAATATTAATGTAAAAATGGCAACTTCTTAACCAATAAACAAAACTACAATCTGTTCATTGCTCCGCTTATCTCACAGGCTTGAGTTTATGTAATAAACTTTTGTATGAAGAGAGAAGGATGTCAAGGGTTGGTGATCTACCTACTACTCACCAATTCTCTTCCATTTCAAGTACTGCTTACAAATCTTCCCAGCTCCTGTCCTGGGTAGAATGACATCGTTGTTTTCCCTGTCACTCATATCCAGTCTCCATCTTTCAGTTCATTAGCCTTTTCTCAGTTTTGGAAGTCGGAGAAAGGTGAGCTGAGGCAGCTTCATTTGTGCACCTGACTGATGTCTACTGCTCCAGCCATTTGCAGTAGATGGCTGGAGCAGTTGACCAGCAAAGTAGTTGCTAAGGTTTCTTTTTGTTTTCAAAATAGAGACTAATTTCTAACAAAATAAGGAAGCATTCTGACAAAGGCATTTGTGAAGAAATATAAAAAATTTGCTCTGGAGAAAGTCCAGGATCATCTCTCTAACTTAGGTGTCAACTGCTTTTAATTTATCCTCATTTTTTGTATTTTAACCTATACACAGACTTACAAGTTTTAGCTTTTAATACTCCATGTTTATATGAGGTTCTAACTGTTAACATTGGCAACTTGCAGGAGCCAAGCAAACCATTTCTCTTTTTTCCCTTTCAAGCTTAACTATGGGACAACTTTATGAGAAGGAAAAGGATGAGGATGGATTCTTGTATGTTGCCTACAGTGGAGAGAACACATTTGGTTTCTGAATGGTGGGTCTTGGCTACTGTACCATCCTGCTGTGTATCTTGTAAATAGCTGATCATTTTCTGTTCTGACATCCTCAGAAGTTCCTTCTATATACATGCATTTGTAACTGGATTTATTTCTTAATATATTGCTAGGTCTTGTTTTATTAGACTGTTAAATTATAAGAAGAAAGTTTTGTTGGTTTTGTGCATTTTTTTTTCTCATGGCTATGACTTCCCAGAGCCTCAGTTCTTTAGGGGGGATACACTTGATGACATTGATTAAATAATAAAGCAGAGTAGTTGGGCAACTAAAACAGGAAGAGAAGAACACACATTTATTCTGTTTTGAGATGTCAGTTTAAGAAAAATAAAAACATTAAGTTACTATTGGGAACATTAGATTTGCTAGCTTATCCAAAGCCAGGGGCAAGATGCTGATCGTGTTGAATTGAGCTAGTACGTTCCTCTTTCTCAATTAACGAACAAGTACAATAAAAATTCCTGTCACAAACAGGCAATGCTGTCATTTCTTTACCTCTGTTTTCACCAGAAAGTTACCCATCACATTTACTAGATGCTACACAGCTACTTCTGTTACTTACTCGACATTGTACAGCTTCTCAAACTTTAGTGTGTGGCTGATGATACCAGGAAGAAACGAGTTCTCTGTAGGTTTCAAAACCAATAACTTCAGAGCTACCATATCTCACAGCTCCTTCTTTTTACAGACAAAGAGGCAAACGCTTGGATTGTGTGGAAGAGGGTGGGAAAACCAGCTAATTGACCTAATTGCACAGAGCTGGATATCACACTCTGATATTAAAGGATAACGCTGAGTTCAAGAAGTAGCATCACTTTGATCTTCCTAGGCCAGCAAGGAAACACTAAATACAGTTTAGATTCCTATTAAAAGTTTTAATTCAGTTTTCACACTACATGGTGCCTAAGAATTTAGTTTTTAAAATGCTTCCAGTTACAGTGGAAATTTACCACTTTCCAAACTTAAATCAAATTCATACTAACTCAAATCCCCATGAAGATACATTTTGCCTAGAATTGTTTAGCTTTGCAGTACTTCACAAGTACTGGCAGAAAGACTCCAAAATGTGAACATAGGCGCCTGTGAAATGTTGACACTACCCTGTTACTGAGGCTTGTCACAGTAACTGTGATGCATGTGCTTACTGTGCTTACTGCCATCAGAAAATGGGCTGTTGATCTCAGTAAGCCTTTCATTATTCAGAACAGCACTGCATTGTAAACCACTGCTTCAGGAAACATTCTGTCAGTGCTTCCATCCTGAATTACTTCTGACACCCTTTTCACACATTAATGTTTACTCTTAACAGAATTTTTGATTCAGAATGAAGGAGGTGGTTTCACCTGTCATTTTTTAAATTACCTTTTATGACTGGAAAGTGTTCTGTTTCTTTTATGCTGGAGCATTACAGTTTTTCTACAGTTATCAAGTAATATGTTTTCTTAGCTGTTCACAGAGGACTAAGAAACACTTTAAAATGCTAGAAAAAGTTAATTGCATGCTAGCAAATAGATGTATCTAAAAGCAAGAGAAGATGTTAAGATTGAGGTAACTTTTGGATTACCCTTCATAAGCTCCCAAAGCCCCCACATCACTGCTCTCTTTATCATCTCTGTATTTATTAATTTAGATTTAGGAGCCCAGACATGCAAGTAGTTCCAGAGAATGTAAGGATAAATATTCTACAGCAGTAACTTCACTTTTCATCTGAAGGTACACTTAAAATGGCAATAAAACATCCAGAGATTTCCTTTTGAAATGCATCGGTGAAATGCATCCCTTTGAATAGTACACTCTCGTAAAATTATATAAAGCATTTGATCCCATATGATCTTCATTTTCTGTTAACCCTTCAATTTATGCACTGAACAAGAAATGAAGAAATACCTCACCGTTCCTACAGCAACACCTCTATGTCACTTATCTTTAAGCTAAATCGAAATGTCATCTCCAATATAACTAAACCAGCACTGGATGAATTTAGTATTCAGTAAATATTGAGTATTCAGGCCAGATTTAGTCCATTTAGATGGTCTTTCCTCAGAAATTATCTTGCTTCTACACGTATATATGTTAATTGTATATATTATGTACCTATCATTGCTACAGCCCTCTTTATGACATTATCAGATAGTCTGAGAGAAAACTCCAACACCTTTCTTCTCCTTGCCAACAGAATTCTCCTGCCCTCAGCAGCACAACCCTAGCTCTATCCTTTCCTCTAGTGCTTAGTGGATTAATTGCAGAGGTCTTTTAACTCCTAGTGAAAGGCTACATCTTGTTTTGGGCTCATGGTTTGTTTTTCTATAAATACAGTAACTTAAATAGTCTTCAATTTATTCAGAATGTATTGAGATAAGTAAGCCTTCCAGCCTGTGTTAAGGTGAGCAGTGGTAGCACACTGTGAAGTTCAAAACCTTGCTTTTCCAAAAACAGGGGGATGCTAGCATCTGGTTTCATGGAACTGCAGCCTCAAACAGATTGATTACTCCTACCCTTGGACAAAACCACTTGTTTCTATGCTCTGGTCTTGACTTCCTTAAAGATAAGCAGGCAGTCTGTCCTGCCTTCTTACTGTGATTGAAAACAGAATGAGCTCTCTAATAGTGACACTGCTAAAGACATCCCACTCAATGATTACAGTTTCTTTGTCCTGGCAATTCGGAGCCATTGGTCCCCAAACAAGTTTGGGACAGGCAAGGACCTATCTGGGTAATAAAGATGTGCTCGTTTTACACACACGGTGGGACTCTTGGTGCCTCTCCTATGCTCTGCTGCTCCCACTGCCGGTTGTTTGCTTGTCCTCATTAAACATGCACAGTGGGCACTTCATTCCTTCTACTTCCCTCCCTGCTAACTCTGCTCTCCTGTGGCAGTGTCTCTCTGCATTGTACTGTACTCACCATGCCTTGCCTATCTTTGTTTTTCGGGGTGTCAGCTATCTCAGCACAAAGGAGTGATACAGGCTTGGAACATGTCAACTGTTACTTTCCAGGAGCAATTCTTCGAAAGACTTGCTGACAATGATCCCAGGTCATTCCATCACAGAAATGCCATCAGTTGAGGATGAGATCCCACAGGCTTAGCCCCTCAGCCTTTTAAATGCTGTTGTGCTTCAGTTCCTTCCCTCTCTTCACATATTTACTGACTTGCTCTAGGCTTAAATATGTCCTCAACTCCATCCAAAAAGTGAGGTTAGAATCAGTGTTCAGCACCTCAAAAACTGCTTTTAAACCTGGCAAGTATCACAAAAAACCAGCAGTCTAGTGTTCACAAGTATTTTAGCAATGCACAAAAAATCTGACAAGAAACAATCCTAACAGCCAGGCTCAAATTTTAGAAAAAGAGTTAAAACAATTTAAACCATATAACCGCTTATCTGAAAACTGATGCAAGACTACAAAACTAGTCTTATGTAAGCCATTTTAATATTGCAGCTGTATAGGAAATGGGAACATTCCAGTCTGGTCAGCAGGTTCACTGCAGACATTGTTGATTAACTGTGGGAAGCTAGATATGGTAAGTTAATAGTTTCTGCAAGATTTCAGTAAAGAAAAAAGGTAAATTTCAGGAACCTGGAAATCTACTGATAGCTCTTTAGGTACGCTATAGAACTCTGCCCTTGGAATGCTACTTGCTCAGTTACAGGAACGGCTACCATTTATCTTCAGCCGTTTACCCTGTAGCCCATGTGCAATGGCATCTGGTCATTTTTTTTCCTCTGATGACTACTGCAAGTCCCTAATCTCCATAATCCCTTGCCTTCTACAAACACATAAACTTACTTCCCCATCACCAGTACAACTGGTCTTTCTGCATGTTAGTGCTGGATTTGAGCGAATCACAATTCAAGTTGTTATTTCTTCAACAAGAGAACTATTCTTACTTGACAAGTCAACCTAAGTGTAAAGTAAAAAGGATTTGCTGCTGTCAGTTCTCAGACTGTGAATGTTATGTGTACTGTTTGGAGCTCAGCAGGTTGACAGCAAAGGCTGTTTGGAGAACTGCTGTGCCCATTTTTCAGATCCAAAACTATAGGATACCAAAGAACAAATAAAAATCAAATCACTAAAGAATCTTCAAGTTCTAAATTATCCACTTCTTTCATCCTCCCATTGCTTTTTTTTTCCAAGTATTTTATGAATTGTGGTTTACAATAGAAAAATACAAAAGGGGAATGTGCTCAGTAGCAGTTCCACAGTCCTGAAATTGCTCACAAAAGGCAGTAAGTGGGACAGAAGATTTAAGGAGGATTACACACTGCTTCCCCCACAACTGCTCACAAGGTTGACTGTCTTGCCATGCAGATGTTAGCTGGTAATAAAGCATAATGGCAAGAGACTAGAAGAGACATGCCAGAGACTACTTTCAGTACTCCCCAAAGCATCTCCACTTTTGCCGGGCTATTAATGAACACAAGGAACAGTGACATAAATGGCTGAGGCATTTCTGCTTTTAACTGACCATTTCCCACAGGGGGGCAAAGAGATGGACATAGTGCTCAAAACACTGAATAGGTAAATGTTTGCTTGTAATTACACAGGATGGGCCAATTTGAACCAAGTCATTCAGGAGTTTGCCAGATAACCTTTCAACTGCTTTGCTTCTGTAGGCAGGAAAGAAAAGTCCTGAAATTGAGATGCACAGGATATCATAAGTGGTATTATTTGACACACACTCCCCCCAGTGCTTTTGCTTCTGCTGTGGTGATATCTGTGGTTATTTTTAGTAAATAGCAGCATATATGAAGGATTCCCAGGAAAAAAAAAAAGACACTTCATGGAACTAGTTTTTCCAGTTAGAAGCAAAGGGGCTGGGGGGAACAGAAAATTTTTACATGCACCAGACAACAAGAGCTCAGAGTTACGAAAGTATTACTTACTATACATGAGGGTTGTCCCAGCAACAGAAAAACAATCACAAAACTATGGGAAGTGGAAGAAAAAAGCAGCACGAAAATTTTCCACAGTACTGCTTCAATTTCAGTCGACATTACTTTCACTGCAATGACTATAGCTGGTAGATCATAGCCTCAGATACTAGGATAGCACATCACTGCTTCCTTTCTTTTGAAGGCATATTGTTTCATGCAGCTCAGAATTTTAAGTCAGCAATGATCCTTTTCTATATTTCAATAAAAAGGGGGCTTCAACTCAGTAAAAATAAAACTATTCTCTAAATTGCCTTCCTTTTCAGTCCTGTCTCTTTACAGCACATAAACTAGAGGGCATCTTTTTCTGGCCCTTGAGCTGCAGGGGTATCTGCTGTGGACCAAAGCTTATTCCTGGATTCACACAGTCCCATGGATTGTCATGTGAAGTGCAGATATTCCTTGGCATTTTCGACCCAACCCAGCAGAGCTTGGCTACGCAGCACTCTCCAGGCTTCTTGATAATTTAATGCAGCTTCCTTGTAGTCCCAGTAGGTTTTTAGAGTCTTCATCCTGACAGAAAATGCACAAAAATGAAAACAA